TGACTGATACAACTATGACTTTTGAAAGATGTCATTTTGACATCATTTTGACTTATGTGTTCTCCTTGGGATGTATAGCAACGCTACTTGATAGTCTCGTAATTTCCGATATTGCCGGTATCGGTCTTCCTCGTCCACGTTGTCCATATGTTCAAAGTGTATTTTCGCGACCTCCCTAATCTACGGTAATTTCTATTCTTATATAAATATATTAAAATAAACCACAAATTTAATAATAATTTTATAATATGTAAAGTACTTCAGATAGAAATGTTGCAATGTTTTCTTATATGTATATCTCTTGAATGTTTTCACATTCTCAAATTTTATTTATTAGATCGTTCGAAAAGTTCGTCTCAAATTTCCTATATATTACACATATGTATACAGGAAGTTTAAAGCAAACTTTACGAACAACCTATTAAAATCTTAAGTATCCTGTATATTTATATAAATAATGCATAATAAAATCAATATTACAAATACATTGCACCGTGTCATTGTTGCAATGTTACATTGTAATTTATCTGAGGGAGGACATTTCAATGTTGCTTCAAGCTTGCAGCAACGTTGCTGAAACATTTCGCAATCTCCATGCCCCATACAGCACAAAAGCTGCAACAGCATTGCTGCAACATTGCAAGATTGCGTATTGCAAATGCAATGGTGCAACAATATTTCAAACACAATATTGCGTAATATTAAGTCTGCAATATTGTAGCTACACTGCAAATACAATATTGTGCAATATCACTCTTATAATGTTGCAACTGTATTACAAAAACATTAACTTGCAATTATACAGTATAAATATTTTTTACGGCGTACATACAACGTTAATCGGGTTTTCTGAGTTCACAAGATATAGCTATAACACATGCAACTCGTAAATCATTCTAAAACATACAGGTTCAACCCTTTTTTTATAATATAATACATTCCTGTGTATTTATTACCTACATATATAATAGGATGATTGGAAACAACCCTGTGTCCTTCAAAAGACGTAATCCTGACTAGATTCTGAAACGATTTTTTCTTTTACAAAACTTTATCCAAAATATAGTTTTGAATTATGAAAGGAAATGGTTATCTTATTATCACAGGTTGAATGCAGAAAACAGGCTGTGGCGGCGCAACTCACCGTCAGACGTGACAACTGACAGCCACCTAATATAAGCGACCACGTATAATGCAGTAAATTTCGCCGCTATTGCCTACGTCCTGTATTCAACTCGTGATAAGAAAACTATTGCCTTTTATAATTCAAAAACTAGATTTTGGATAAAGTTTTGTAAAAGGAATAATCGTCTCAGAATCTCGTCAGGATTATATATTTTCAAGGACCATGGGTTGTTTCTTATCACCCTGTATACATACGTACAACGTCTTATTGCATTTTATTGCATTATGGCTACATTGTTACATTGCAATATTGCTGCAGTCTTGCATTTTCATATTGCTGCGTAGTTGCATTGCAACATTGCTGCACTGTTGCATTGAAATATTGCTGAAGGCGGACATTCTAATGTTGCTGCAATGTAGCTACAATATTGCAGCAACATTTCGCAATTTTGCTGCAATGATGCAATCTTTCAAAACAATGTCTCTGCAACGTTGCTGCAATATTTCCGTGCTGTATGGGGCAATGTTACAATGTTGCAGTAAAAGGTGTATGCAATGTTTCTGCAATCTTTCGGTGCTGTATGGGTGCACTTTATGCGTATTTGTGCTACGCCTATTTTCCAGGATGGTGTTGTGAAATTCAAAATTACATTAACATAAGTTATCTGCATGACATTTACATCAATTTTTCTCATGTAGACAATGTAAATTTTATAAATTATGATATCAGAATGCGTAGCACAGACATGCACCGAGTGGAAATTTTATCGGCAGAGTCCGAAAATGCGTAATGAAATAGTTCCAAAAGTAAAAATGGACGTGAGAGCGCGCGAAACAGTTTCCCGAAACGGTATCAAGTAAAACGCCGGCGCGTGGCCGCTTTCAGGTTTCTCTCTAGTAAAACCAACGACAGCGTGAGCAAGCGAATCGCGGCTTTTTCCAACGCGCGCGCGCGCTAACGCCGCTTTCGTACGCATGCGTAAGAGAGCACGGTCTACCACGTGACCGCTTCGACAGGCGTGTGTCAGAATGTAACACGGGAGGACGAAAATAATATCTGTCTCGTTTCTCATCATCGTCTTATCGTCATTATTTTACATTGTGTTTTACATTAACATACATTGTATATTTCTACAATAATTCTATACAATTCTACAGTTCTGTGTAATTTTATAGATTTATACGCGCTTTTATATGAACAATTTTTAAAAGCGAAAAAATTGCATATATATAATTCTATATATAACTTTGTACAATTGCCACAATTATATATAATTATAAATAAGCAATTTTTTTTATATAGAAGCATGTGGAAATCTATAAAATTATACAAAACTGTGTAGAATTGTATAAAATTATATACACCCACACAGCACAGAAAGATTGCAGAAATATTACATTGCAAGATTGCAATATTGCAGCAACGTTGCGCAACATTGCTGCAACGTTTCTGGAGGATTGCGGCAACGTTGAAATGTCCGCCCTCAGAGAGATTGCAGTGCAACATTATAGCAATGTTGCGGCAATATTTTTGGGATAATGTGTTGTTGTACATAAGCAGAGAATTTACTAATTACATATGCATCCGAGCCTTTTTCAATACACGGCAAGCTATTGCGAAGCAACCTAAGGAGATTATGTCGCCTCGCAATAGATGGAGATTGCGAGCAACACCGCACTGATCAAGTACTTAATAATTCGCGCATTATTAGTATCAACGAAAATAATATTATAAAATTCTCGTAATTAGAAACATTTTTTAAATAGAAAATATAGTATTTTCATTATTTTTGAAACATTGCTGCAATATATTGCTATCGAAAGTTTGCAATTTTATATCCCTGCAATGTCTCTGCAAGATTGCAACGTTTCTACAATGTAACTGCAACCATCTGTGCTGTATGGGCAATGACTTTATTATTTCTGAATTGATTATTTTTCACTTTAGTTTACTATAATATACGATACTTTCGATTACTCTAATTTATTCCAAATACTACAGATGTTAGTAAAAATGTGTGTACTGTGTGATTGACTATACAAATAGAACAAAAAGGTGATTATTCTTCGTATTGTATTATTTAGTCGCGGGGGAGCGGGCCTCGCGGCGCCAGCCGGCACGGTACGCTCATGCGCGGCGCGACTGCGCGCGCGCGGAAAGGTCCGGCGCAACATGGCAGTCAACGGCGATGCTCGGCGGTGTTTGACGCGGTGTTTGCGTACGGTACGTTGAATACGCTCTCGATGCGTCGGCAGGAATCGTGACTGGCCAGCGAGGTGGTCATCGGTGACGCGTGCACAAGCGAAACGTACAGTGCTCGACGCGGGTGCTCGACGCGATCGGCGCGGAGGCTTAGACTGCAGGGACAGAGGTGAACCCGCGCGGCTGCAAGATGTCCAAGCCGGACGAGAACGCGGACACCGGCGACACCGGGGACAACTCGAACGGGTCCTCGGCGGAGACGACGTCGTCGCGGGGCGGCGACTTCGAGACGAAGCTCGAGACGGACCGTAGCAAGCGCTTCGACTACCTGCTCAAGCAGACCGAGATCTTCTCGCACTTCATGACGAACAATCAGAAGGACAAGGCCGGCAGCCCGCTCAAGATCAAGGCCGGCAGGCCCAGGAAGCAGCCCCAGGAGATCCCCAAGCCCGACTCCGTCGATCACCGGCACCGTAAGACCGAGCAGGAGGAGGACGAGGAGCTGCTGGCGGAGAGCAACGCGAGCGTGGCGCCCACCACGCGCTTCGAGTCCTCCCCGCACTACATCAAGTCCGGCGAGCTGCGCGACTACCAGATACGCGGGCTCAACTGGATGATCTCGCTGTACGAGCACGGCATCAACGGCATCCTCGCGGACGAGATGGGCCTCGGTAAGACGCTGCAGACAATCTCCCTGCTGGGCTACATGAAGCACTTCCGAAATATCCCCGGGCCGCACATCGTCATCGTGCCCAAGTCGACGCTGGCCAACTGGATGAACGAGTTCAAGAAGTGGTGCCCGAGCCTGAGGGCCGTCTGCCTGATCGGCGACGCCGAGACCAGGAACACCTTCATCAGAGACGTGATGATGCCCGGCGAGTGGGACGTGTGCGTCACGTCCTACGAGATGGTGATCAAGGAGAAGTCCGTGTTCAAGAAGTTCAACTGGCGCTACATGGTGATCGACGAGGCGCACCGAATAAAGAACGAGAAGTCCAAGCTGTCGGAGATCCTCAGGGAGTTCAAGACGACCAATCGGCTCCTGCTCACCGGCACGCCGCTCCAGAACAACCTCCACGAGCTCTGGTCCCTGCTCAACTTCCTCCTGCCGGACGTGTTCAACAGCTCGGACGACTTCGACTCCTGGTTCAACACCAACAGCTTCCTGGGCGACAACTCCCTGGTCGAGAGGCTGCACGCGGTGCTCAGGCCGTTCCTCCTGCGGCGCCTCAAGTCCGAGGTGGAGAAGGGGCTCAAGCCCAAGAAGGAGATCAAGGTGTACATCGGCCTGAGCAAGATGCAGCGGGAGTGGTACACCAAGGTGCTGATGAAGGACATCGACATCGTCAACGGCGCGGGCAAGATCGAGAAGATGCGGCTGCAGAACATCCTGATGCAGCTGCGCAAGTGCTGCAACCATCCGTACCTGTTCGACGGCGCGGAGCCCGGGCCGCCGTACACCACCGACGAGCACCTTGTCTACAACTGCGGCAAGATGGTGATACTCGACAAGCTGCTGCCCAAGCTGCAGCAGCAGGAGTCCCGGGTGCTGATATTCAGCCAGATGACGAGGATGCTGGACATTCTTGAGGACTACTGCCACTGGCGGTGCTTCCAGTACTGCCGGCTCGACGGCAACACTGCCCACGAGGACCGGCAGCGGCAGATAAACGAGTACAACGCGCCCGGCAGCGAGAAGTTCATCTTCATGCTGTCGACTCGCGCCGGCGGCCTGGGCATCAACCTAGCGACCGCCGACGTCGTCATTATCTACGACTCTGACTGGAACCCGCAGATGGACCTGCAGGCGATGGACCGCGCGCACCGTATCGGCCAGCAGAAGCAGGTGCGGGTCTTCAGGTTCATCACGGAGAACACGGTGGAGGAGAAGATCGTGGAGCGGGCGGAGGTGAAGCTGCGCCTGGACAAGCTTGTGATCCAGCAGGGCCGGCTGGTCGACGCCAAGCAGACCGCGCTCAACAAGGACGAGATGCTCAACATGATCAGGCACGGCGCGAACGAGGTGTTCGCGTCCAAGGACAGCGCCATCACCGACGAGGACATCGACACGATCCTGCAAAAGGGCGAGGCGAAGACGGAGGAGATGAAGCAGAAGCTCGAGAGCCTCGGCGAGTCCTCGCTGCGCAACTTCACCGTCGACGCGCCGACGGACTCCGTCTACCAGTTCGAAGGCGAGGACTACCGTGAGAAGCAGAAGATCCTCGGCATCGGCAACTGGATCGAGCCGCCCAAGCGCGAGCGCAAGGCCAACTACGCCGTCGACGCGTATTTCAGGGAGGCGCTCCGTGTCTCGGAGCCGAAGGCGCCGAAAGCACCGAGGCCGCCCAAGCAGCCGATCGTGCAGGACTTTCAGTTCTTCCCGCCGCGACTCTTCGAGCTGCTGGACCAGGAGATCTACTACTTCCGGCAGACGGTCGGCTACAAGGTCCCGAAGAATCCCGAGCTCGGCTCGGACGCCGCCCGGATCCAGAAGGAGGAGCAGCGCAAGATCGACGACGCCCAGTCGCTCTCCGACGAGGAGGTCGCCGAGAAGGAGAAGCTGCTGCTGCAGGGCTTCACCAACTGGACCAAGCGGGACTTCAATCAGTTCATCAAGGCGAACGAGAAGTACGGCCGCGACGACATCGAGAACATCGCCAAGGAGGTCGAGGGCAAGACGCCGGAGGAGGTGATGGAGTACTCGGCCGTCTTCTGGGAGCGCTGCCACGAACTGCAGGACATCGACCGCGTCATGGCGCAGATCGAGCGCGGCGAGGCCAAGATACAGAGGCGCGCCGGCATCAAGAAGGCCCTGGACGCGAAGATGGCGCGGTACCGCGCGCCCTTCCACCAGCTCAGGATAGCCTACGGCACGAACAAGGGCAAGAACTACACCGAGGAGGAGGACAGGTTCCTCGTCTGCATGCTGCACAAGCTGGGATTCGACAAGGAGAACGTCTACGAGGAGCTGCGCGCCACGGTCAGGTCGGCCCCGCAGTTCCGCTTCGACTGGTTCGTCAAGTCCCGCACCGCGCTCGAGTTGCAGCGTCGCTGCAACACCCTCATCACCCTGATAGAGCGCGAGAATCAGGAGCTCGAGGAGCGCGAGCGGCAGGAGAGGCGAAAGAAGGGCAGCAACGTAGGAGCGAAGCCGACGTCCAAGCGAAAGGAGAATCTGCCGGCGCCGCAGGACAAGCCGCGGAAAAAGAAGAAGTAGAGCCGAGAGCGTCGGTGCATCGGCGAGCCACCGCACACACACCACCCCCCGGGACTCTCTTTCGGACACTTTTCGAACTCGGCTCTCGCGAGTTTAAACCACGACTGAAGTACGGACCACGGGTATTCACGCAGAGCGCTCTTCTTTTTCTACATTTGCAAATCCGCTCGCTCCTCACCGCGTAACTCCGCGCGCGTCGCTCCCCTTTCATATTCCATTGTAAACGAGATGCATTCTTAGCTAACGACTGCCAAGCTCCATCCGGCCTCGTCGCGTCGTCTCTAGCGAGACCATGCGGACTTATCTTGGACCGTTCGCGCCGCGATTGATCTCGGGGAAAAACGTAATCTCGCGCAAACTAGATCTATCTCGTTAATGCTGCAACACTTGCCGATGGACTTGGACAGAACTCAACATTGCAAGTGTTTTTTTTTCATGTGCTCACGGATGCCTGATCATGAAATGAGAGAGAGAGAGAGAGAGAGAGAGAGAGAGAGAGAGAGAGAGAGAGAGAAACGTAAGAACAAGTATACTATTTATTTCCCTGGACCTATCGAGTAAGTTGTTAAAATTATTTTTCTTAAACAAACTTTTAGGAGCCAACGTCGTCCTACACGCGCATCGGTCAAATTAAGAGATAAATTTATTATAATTCGAATCTTGCTAATTTATAGTGTCTCATTAATTGTATTATAATACGCTGCTACGAAATTCTTTGTATCGCATAATCTTTACGAGGAAATGAAGTATTACATAAGCGGTATATACCAATCTATTTTGTAGACAAACGGCAACTCCGTAATACTGTTCGGAGGTGCATTCCTTTCAATCGTCGTGTATTTAGTTTCAACGAGGAAAAATTGCCGCTCCGTCATTCGAAAGTTGCATTTCTAGCATGCGATAAATCCCGTTGGTATTTCCGGCAGGAAGATACATACTTTTAGGCAGTTTTATATATACTTAAGTTTACGTATACGCGAATACACATCGAATAAAAGTTTGCAAAACAAAAGTAAATTTGAAATATTATGAATAAATCTTACTATTACGGATGGAGGATGTTTTATTTCAGCTGCCATACGTCGTGGTACTTTTTACGAGATGTATTCGTCGACCGTTCTCGCAATTGCTCTGAAGGAGATACAAACGTTTCAACTTCATACGTAAAACACTGGTCGACGATCGAATCTATATCGTACTTGTTAGACTTAAAAGTTTAATTATAACAACAATTGTAAGCGTACTGCTCCGATACTTGATTGCACACACAAGAATGTATTGCGAAGAGCATGAACGTTGATGGTTAAAAAAAGAATAGACAAATGTGTCAATCGGGTCTTAAACAATGACGGAATCGACATTAGACAAATTGTTTCCGTTAACGAGTTACGCGAAAAGATAACGGAGCTGTTACATGGAAATTAATTGGACGTAAAACTTATCTCCTTTGCACACTTGCAAGTGCATTACATGTTAAAAAAATGAAATGTTCCGATGTCGACTTTCTTTGAACCGTCCTGAAGGCCTCGGAATTCTGTACCGTCGCGGGATATAACGATCCTAGTTACATACTTTTATATATTTGCGCACAATTCGCACTTGTCCCCTTTCGATCCAGAAAACCGCCAGAAGAAAAATAAAGATATTCTCAGAAAATGTATGTAGTCTTTGCACGTCGCAACGTAATCGCTGGCAATTGTCGAAGAGACTGTTAGAAAGAATCCGTGTTATCAACATTTTTAATTGCGATCTAGACATGACGTGATTAGAGTATATTAAAGGCAAGTACAATTATAATTACAATCGTTACACCTTACTTTCACACAACTTCGAGAGTTCACATCTATAACGAGTTAAAAATTAATAGCCACAGTGCTTATTTATACGCAACACAGAAGGACACGTGGGAAATTCGCTTGAAACCAAAGTGATCCATTTTGTCATTCGTCTTGCTTCCTATCTTTTTTTTTCTATCGTGTCCCTTTAGCAGTTTTATGGAATTGTTCCTAAAAATCTATGAACAGTATTGGTACAATTCGGATTTGATCGGCGATGGAGTACATTTAGTTTTCAGCAAATATGTATCCACGATGAATACATAATTATTGATAGCAGTACGATTCGTACGTAATCATCCATGGCAAGAATCGGCCCATTATAAGACATGTATTGTATTTGGATTACGTTACATTCATATATTTACGAGGTAAATTCAACTGAAGAGATCAATTACGCAGAATAGCGATCCAAGATTAGAAAAAGGAAGGAGAAGTTAGAAATTCTCGAACGGATGACAAACAATTTTGCAAGACTCTTCACAACTTATCTTCCCCTATTTCGCACAATGTTTTTAAGAAAGTATAGTACAAATCACTTGCTCGATTTGCAAACTCGATTACGTCTGTTTGTAATGTTACGGCAAAAGGAAATTCAATGCAGAACAGACGTCTCGATTTCAATCCCGTGTCTCGCAATTGCACAACGTTCGGAAGAGATTCCGTCTACAGCGAGCATCGTCGAGATACGAATTCCGAGATAAGTATCGAGCTTACATCATTCTATACATGACTTCCTAACGCTTTAATGATTATATTTGCGCTACACTTTAAAAGTCTGCGACAACGGCAATAATAGGATAATAATACTGGCAAATTGTATGGCGGTTTTAAGCAGACTTCATCCCTAAACAGCGAATATTTTCGCATTCGTCTAAGTACGTATACTACAATATATTACTCGAATCTACAATATTTTCTCAGCGTTTACATAATCAATGCTTCCATTTGACACGGGCGCGTTGTAGATGTGCACCGGTCAAATAATTTTTTTACAATTTAAATTCCTTCCGATTTTGATTATTCGATAAACGATAATTATACATTTTCGCTCGCGGCAATCGTTTTTTTTCCCTTACATCACTAGGAGAGTATTGACTTACTAAATTGTCGAACAATTATTTCTGGACTCCTGAATAAACGTGCGGATAAAAATTCTCGTTTTATCGCCTAATGTACACTTTCCTATTGTGCAGTTGAAAAAGGATCAGTTCGCTATTATGACAATGCTGCTATTTGGCTAAATATATTTCAGGTATATTTTCATAAATCACACCTCTCGTTCGCTCATCGAGCCGCTATCATTGCGGCTGAACAAAATCGTTTCTTTTTTCCCCACAAGATTCGCATAACATAAATAAAGCAATCGCGATGTCAAAAGTACAATTAAAGGTTCCTCGCACACATTTACAAAGTAATAATACAATTAAATAATTCTATTTAACGCTATATATACAGGTGTTCCACCAGAAACAGAGCACTCGAATAATATTGCAAGATTTGAAAATACTCGAAAACAGATTAAATATAATCGGCCTGGATGCAAATTATATAAAATCGCTACGTACAACGGGTTGCGGGAAGAAAAAATATTTTCTATTCAAAAGAAAAATGGATCGTTGCTAAAAAAAAACATTCCCAGAATCTTCTGTTTCTGAAGGATCATTCTATGTAAGAGTTACGTCTACATAAAATAAATAAACTTGAAAAATGTAACATGACTATTATCAGAGTAGAGGAATGGATATTAAGTCAAATGCCGAGTTTACAATAGCCAGCGCGCTTAAATAATAAAACCTACTTATGTATTTCTTTTTTATATAACGATTCACAAATAATTGCCCTCCAAATCTCTCAGATCTGTAACCCTTTTACAATCTTAACTATAAGCGAATTCGGCAGCTCGCACTAGCGCGCACTGAATGCGCACCAAGGCTTATTTATAGTCGATTCTTATATTTAAGGATTGTCTTACACCTTGAAATACTTTTTAGCCAGTAAAATGATCCGTACAGCATTCGTACCGATCATGTTTCTCGACTAAATAGTTTTTAGACATGTACTTGAGAGGACCGTAAATATAAGATTCTGAACAAGTCTTAGTGTACACTCACAATCAGTGCAAGCTGCCGAATTCGCTGCATGTAAAATTAACAACGGGTAAATAAAAGAATATTTGACTGTGGAAGCCGGGAAACGCCTTAATCTTAATAATTAATTGTAATCGATTTGTTATACGCTAAAATAAATTGTTCTTCATAAATCATTAGTAACTACATCTCGATACTAATAGCGATCACCATTTGCGCGAATCTGCATATTTAAAACTATAAATAATCACTTAAAACGGCCATTGCACGCTCGATTGTAAAGCTACGTTCTGTACGACGAGAAACAAAATACTAAAGATATCCAATAAAAGATTACCCGCGAATAGATTCAAATGAAACATAAAAAAAAACACTATTGCTATAGCCACGTAATGGCGATAAGTTAACGTTACGCGAAGAGGATTTCGAGAATCGTGCGGACTGCATTACGTAAGAATGAAACGAAAATGCAACGCTTCCCTTTAAATTCGATATTTCGTCTATACTTTTATATACGAGTAAGATGGAAATGATCTAAGTTAAAGGTTCAATCGAAAATCTCGCAGATGCCTCCAGGGGGGTGGATCAGGGGGTGGAGGCAAAGGGACTGGTTACGGACGGCAATGGCCTCTCTTCCTACCGCCTTCGTTACCATCCTCATCTTCACCGCCCCTTCGTACTTCCGTATAACGTTCACCTTTCACACTTACAATCTTATTGTCAAGATACCGTACCAGCTTCTTAGGCTCCGTTTTCGGCGCGACTGGACGGTGCTCGCGGCAATCGTCGTCCCTATCGACGTAACTGTATCGCGCTATGATACGAGACTTTAACTCCTCGTCGTTCACTCTCGCTTTGTTACGACCGTTGGGCTGAAACGAGTAAACGTCAACGAGTGCAAATCATAAGCCGCTCTCGTGCGGTCGAGCAAAATCAATGCCTGATGAAATCTCACCGTCAGAAACGTGAGGTTGCTCACGATACTCTGACCCGCCTCTTGACGGTGTAACGCGAGCTGCGCGGCTTTCGCTATATCGCCCCCGGCTACCGCTAAGCAGTGCCTCGCCTCGGCAGGACTCGCCGCCGGAAACATCTCTTGCAGCACGGCCACCTGATGCCAGGAGGATTCCTAGAAAGGCGATGTAATTAGAGATCTTACAAGGTAGGTGTGAATCTGTTGTCGTCGTTCCAAACTCTTTGCAATTACTTTGAAAAGTAAGAACAGTATTTTCACTGTATATGTATTTGAACGAAATGAGAGATCGGACCTTCTGCGACCACGAGAAACAAAAGAACCTAGACGAAATATATTCGAGTCTTTTACGAGTATTGTATTGAAAGTTTCATCTTCTTCAAATCAAAAGAGAAAGAGAGATAAAATTATATAAATCAAAAATTTAATATAAATAATAAATAAAAATATGACTAATATATTGTAGACAACTTCATCCTAGGAATCCAAGTATTACTTGTACAAGATTCGACTTTTTACAAGAGAAAGTACATTTGAAATCTTGCAGACACTCACTTCAAAATCTTAAACTTAATTCAGGGATTTGGTCACTTTGCAAGTACAACGTATTAAATTTCTCAGATTATTCGAATCTTAAAAATGAAACTTGGATTTGATTGTAAAGGACCTACACAGCACAGAAAGATTGCAGGAAGATTGTAGAAATGTTACATTGCAAGATTGCAGCAACGTTGAAATGTCCGCCCTCAGAGAGATTGCAGTGCAACATTATAGCAATGTTGCGATGCAATATTTTTTTATTAATTTGTTGTTGTTGTACATAAACAGAGAATTTACTAATTACATATGCATCCAAGCCTTTTTCAATACACAGCAAGCTATTGCAAAGCAACCTAAGGAGATTGTGTCGCTTCGCAATAAATGGAGATTCCGAGCAACACCGCACTGATAAAGTACTTAATAATTCGCGCATTACTGGTATCAACGAAAATAACATTATAAAATTCTCGTAATTAGAAAAATGTTTTAAATAGAAAATATATTTTTATTATTTTTGAAACATTGCTGCAATATTGCTATCGAAAGTTTGCAATTTTATATCCCTGCAGTCTCTGTAAGATTGCAATGTTTCTGCAATATAACTGCAACCATCTGTGCTGTATGGGTAAAGGAGCCACACAGCACAGAAAGATTGCAGAAATGTTACATTGCAAGATTGCAATATTGCAGCAACGTTGCGCAACATTGCTGCAACGTTTCTGGAGGATTGCAGCAACGTTGAAATGTCCGCCCTCAGAGAGATTGCAGTGCAACATTATAGCAATGTTGCGGTGCAATATTTTTGGAATAATTTGTCGTTGTTGTACATAAGCAGAGAATTTACTAATTACATATACATTCGGGCCTTTTTCAATACACAGCAAGCTATTGCGAAGCAACCTAAGGAGATTATGTCGCTTCGCAATAGATGGAGATTGCGAGCAACACCGCACTGATCAAGTACTTAATAATTCGCGCATTATTGGTACCAACGAAAATAACATTATAAAATTCTCGTAATTAGAAAAAGTTTTTAAATAGAAAATATAGCATTTTCATTATTTTTTAAACATTGCTGCAATATTGCTATCAAAAGTTTGCAATTTTATATCCCCGCAATGTCTCTGCAAGATTGCAACGTTCTGCAATGTAACCATCTGTGCTGTATGGGTAGGTACATCCTATATATTGAACTCGATCCCATCTCCAGATATAATAGACGCTCAAGAGCGCCTGGCCTGCCCATCTCCCTCGAAATTGCTCTTACTTCGGAAAAGTATTCCCCGCTCGAATCGCTACCAGCGTCGCTCGTCTCCGAGAGATGGTGGACCCGCATTCTCTGCGCACCGGCCGGCAAGAGGGCGGCCAGGCTGATGTGGTTGAGCGGATCGCTGTGGGACTGGCAGTTCTCGTTCTCCTTAGTCTCCCGTTTCAGCTTGCTCTCGACGTCGAGCAGCCACTTGGACACAGCCTCCTTCTCGATAGTGGAAAACTCGGGTAGGCAGGCAGATACCATCTCGCACAGTCCGTCCACGTCTAGATCCTCCTCCAGCGCGCTCTCCTCCAACATACTCACTACGTAACGGAGTACAATGTCGTCTATTAAGCTGAAACAAGCGGATTCACCCCAGTTCATCAATATCCCCGTCGAGATCGGAGGACGGGAAACGTGGGGAGGGAGGGTCGGTACCTCAGTTGAGCGGTGGGCACCTGCTTCCTGACGAAACTAAATAAGGCCTTCTTCACCAGCTCCTCCTTCTCACCCATCGTACGACTCATCCTGCAATTGTCAAGCTGGTTAACACGTGATTCCCCGGCGACGCTGGAGACACGCGATTGTCGACGAGTGTCTACAACGCCCGGGTCCGCGCGAGCGAGCGAGCTCGTCCCCGAGGACTCGGACGCGCGGCCTAACGAGCGCCGCGACGGAGCGTTCCTCGCGCGTCAACGTTCAGTCATTGATCCTTTAATATATAGGTTAAGGGAGACGAGAGGGCAGCAGGTCCCTGGCTCGCGGCCCTCGCGCGCCCTTACGCGCGAGAACGCCGCGACGACGTTCCCTCTCGAGGAGCTGCGGGGCGGGAGTCGACCGGCCGTGACCGGATCGCGCGCGACGGACGCGTACGAGGCCAGGACAGGCGGGTGGACAGGCAGGTAAAGACGGAAGAGAACAGATGAACCCCCGAGGGAGAGCCGCGGTCGCGCTCGTGGTAACCGAACGACGAGCGATGATCGACGACGCGGAGCGCGCCGGTCGCCGCTCGCTCGCGAGAGGAAGGCGTCGGCGATGAGCGCGCCGGTACGAACCTGACCCTGAACCAGGCTACCTCGATCGGGACACACTCGGGCTTTGCCAGCGACGCCAAGCACTCGAGATGAATTTTCGTATACAAACAACGCTCGTCGATTTGACAGTTGGCGAGGGGAGGGGCGGACGCGCGGCGCCTGGCGCCACCTAGCGGGTCGCGCGGAAACCTGGCGCTGGATTTACATCGCGCTTATATAGTCAAAGACATCGCGCGTTACGCATAGCTGCGTACGGGTACGGCGCTACTCATTAACGCTTGGGCCTCGATTTTACGAGGATACACATTTTCATAACCTTTATTCCCATTTATATATCAATGAGTTTCAGGTTGTAGTACACACAAGACTTGTATACAAGTCTCTGGTAAGCACCAGAGAGAAACCTGAGAGCGACCACCGCCGGCGTTTTACTCGAGACCGTTTTGCGCGCCCATTTTTACTTTTCGAACTATTTCGCTATGCATCTTCTGACACCGCCGATAAAGCCGCCACTTCCCATACAGCACGGATGGTTGCAATTACATTGCAGAAGTACGTTGCAATCTTGCAGATTGCAGTGCAAACTTGCAGAGACATTGCAGGGATATAAAATTGCAAACTTTCGATAGCAATATTGCAGCAATGTTTCAAAAATAATGAAAATATTATCCCATACAGCACAGATGGTTGCAGTTACATTGCAGAAACGTTGCAATCTTGCAGATTGCGGTGCAATCTTGCAGAGACATTGCAGGGATATAAAATTGCAAACTTTCGATAGCAATATTGCAGCAATGTTTCAATATAATGAAAATACTATCCCATACAGCACGGATGGTTGCAATTACATTGCAGAAGTACGTTGCAATCTTGCAGATTGCAGTGCAAACTTGCAGAGACATTGCAGCGATATAAAATTGCAAACTTTCGATAGCAATATTGCAGCAATGTTTCAAAAATAATGAAAATATTATCCCATACAGCACAGATGGTTGCAGTTACATTGCAGAAACGTTGCAATCTTGCAGATTGCGGTGCAATCTTGCAGAGACATTGCAGGGATATAAAATTGCAAACTTTCGATAGCAATATTGCAGCAATGTTTCAAAAATAATGAAAATACTATATTTTCTATTAAAAAATTTTTGTAATTACGAGAATTTTACAATGCTAATTTCGTTGACACCATGATGCGCGAATTATTATAAGTACTCGATCAAAGGCTTGTTTTCTGTTCCTACACTAATGAACTAGTGCAATAAATTGGAGTAAGACAAGCATATTTTTTCTCATTCTAGCTTACTGCACTAGTTCACCAGTGCAGGAACAGAAAACAAACCCCATGAGTGCGGTATCGCTCGCAATCTCCATCTATTGCGAAGCAACATAACCTCCTTAGGTTGCTTCGCGAAGGCTTGCTGTGCCTTGAAAAAGGCCCGGATGCATATGTAATTAGTAAATGCTCTGCTTATGTACAACAACAGCAAATTATTCCAAAAATATTGCACTGCAACATTGCTATAATGTTGCACTGCAATCTCTCTGAGGGCGGACATTTCAACGTTGCCGCAATCCTCCAGAAACGTTGCAGCAATGTTGCGCAACGTTGCTGCAATAATTGCAATCTTGCAATGTAACATTTCTGCAATCTTCCTGCGATCTTTCTGTGCTGTGTGGGCGCGCGTTAAAGCAACGTCGCTTAATTTTATCCTTACAATTTAATTCACTCTTTCTCTATTTACATTGTCTCTTTCTATGAATGTAGATTAACTTTAATTTCGGTTTAACTTGCTTTTTATCTCTTTCTAGTTCTAAGAATTAGAAAACGAGAGATTAAGGCCTGGTTTCACCAAACGTTGCTCAACTTTAATCTTAGTTTAATTCACGTTTGTCTCTTCCTAGAGTAACAATTAGAAAGAGACAAAGAAGCTAAGCTTAAAATTAAGTGATGTTAGTGAAACTAGGTCGAAAAGTGAGAGCGAACCGAGATTAATAATCTGCATTGATAGAAGTGGATATGAGGGAAACAGAGAGGAGGAGTGAATTAAGCTGAAGTTAGGCGACATCGGTGCAACCGGGGACCATCGTTATGTCACATTGCAGAATAGTGAAGATGTTTTCAAATGCTTTTTTTTTAAAGAATGATTACGATATGACATGACTGAGCGCGCGAATTTCGAACAATCTGATTGGCCAACTTTGAACACTCTTCATTTAAAAACTATTGTATTATATAGCTTCGGCATTTTGGTACTGGAACTTCCGCCTCAAAATAATCTCAGGAATCTGCTATTACACATACACGCGCGCGCATATAATAGCGTGTATGTGTGTGTATAAATTACGAATGTATGAAAAGTATTACGAATACATATATGAATGTTACACAATATCGTGATACGGGATGTTCAAAGGAAGGCGTATGCGTAGAGGTGTCTCGATTCGATTTCCCAGACTTTGTTCGATCAGCATTTTATTTTCTAGGTCGATTATCAGAGATGTCACATTCACATCTATCGACGCGTCAACGAACAGGAAAAAGCTTACATTTTTAACTTACACTCACATTTTTTTCTCGCGCAAAACCTGCGTTTTCTTATCGAAGAAAACACGTATGTACGTACGTACGATAGAAATTTTGGTTCGTTCGGAACACTGCGTGTTGTGATAGCTGTGTTTATTCGAGATGTGGCGTTACACTCCGGATAGCCGAATTCGTTGAGAACAGATCTCGAAAGTATTTGCTGCATATTTGATCGATAGAACACCAGCAAAACTACAACAGAATCGACTAACAGAATGGCAGATTGATTGCAGGAGCTGTGTGGACTCTGCTGTTTTGTGACCATTTAAATGTTTATGAAATGATAAATTCTACTCGGTTTCAGCCGGCAATCCGCCGCCGTCAGATTACATCGGTAGACTCGGCCGGAAAAACGCGAGTTTAGTGCGAATACAGATGCCGGGTTTGCTGTAATATCTGAGCAGATCTGCTGCCAATCCGTTGTCACATCGCAGACAGTTTGTCGAGGCGTTACAATTTACACCCACGTACTTCCAACCGCGTACCGGTGACGATAACTTATTTAACTCGATACAGATACATAAATAATTACAACTCGTGATGAAATGATATACTCGATCACTTTCGTAGACAAAATAAGTTACACAACACAACTCTAGAGCCTAACAAATTTAGGACTTTTACAACACAAAGTATGTCACATCCGTCAGTACAATTAATTACTTTGTTAAAACCGTGGACATTACAGTATTAATTTTTATATAAATGCGTGATCTATATCAGACGCTCGTCACTTGTATACATACGAAGTTAATACACGTAGAAGATATTTAAATAAATATACACGTTGCGATAAAAGACGCGCTGGACTAGCGGAAATATCTCTTAACATTGTTGTACCTTCCTCAAAGTGTCTCAAACTCTATATAGTAAGATATTAATCGTAGAGATCTCTGATTAACAGCGAGACTAAATTAAAAAGGTAAAATCTTCTCAAGTGTTCTTAATACGTAGATTCCAAAAATAACAATCTCTTCGTTTTGGTACTTGATTCTCGCGCATCACCTCCGGTTTGTCGTTATAAGAATTGCATTTCTTCGCTTGAGAGTCCCAACAAAACAAATCGTAGGTATCCTTACGCTAGTTTCCATTGAAATTTATGGTATAATCCGATCATTACATAGATTACAAGATATCTCTATACTTTACTATGTCACTTTCTTCTCTTTCGAGGCGGGCGTCGCATTTTGCTCGATTCCGTTGTCCTCGTCAACGGAAGCGTAATCGAGAGGTTCTTTTTTATTATTATCGTCTTTGTTACAGGTCGATTCTGGCTCTTCGACAATGTCTTGCTGTTGCTCTAAGAAATCGGTAGGTACAAACTCCATTTGGTCTTCGTTATCGTTTAAATCCGGCGGAGCTGGTAACTCACAAAAGTGCAGTCTCTCGTCTTCGTCGTTAACTTCTTCGCCACCCGGATCGTCCTCCTCGTGCAAACTCATAAGCTTCTCAAATTCCGAGGTAGGCGTAACATCTTCACTGTTCTCCGGGAATATCTCCGTCGGACTAAGAGGTATATCTAAAGGCTCTAGCTTCACGGTCGCGCACGGCGACGTTGGGGTGACAGGCCGCTGCAGACGTATCTTGGTGAAAGGTCTCGGCTCCATATGTTCGGACTGCTGTCGCTTTTGCGCGCGCTTAGGACTAGAAGACATAGACACCCTCGAGGGTGACGCTTTATTCTCTTTGGACTCTGTGGTACCTCTAGGAACTACGTGTTGTGACGACAATGGCTTCGTTTGAGGTATAAGTAGCGGTGACTTTGCGTTCTACCGACGAGAGAAAGAGTAGTACAAGTTAGTTAAACTTTCGCACATTAACGGATCTAATTGCAATGCAATTAGCGACGGTCGACTTACTTGGGACGAGGGACTCGGACCGGCTAGTCCCTTCACTTGCAATGCCTCGGCGGCGTTCAACAGCTGCGGCAATTTATCGTGAGCGACATTGACTTCCCCGCGGTACATGAATTTCACCAACGCCTCCACTTCCCAGAACTTCAAGTCCTTCATTAGAATAATGGGATGTTGGCACGGATTCTCCCGTAGCAGGTCCGCCAGGTAGTCACTGCAGGAAGATAGGATCATTTTGTGACACTTCAAGGATCGCCCTTCGCACGCCAGGGTCACGTCGACAAACTGCTCCGTGTCCAGTAACGACGGGAAGCTATTTTGCATATTACTATGGTAACTGTTCCACCTCAGGCAAACCTGAAACACGTGGAAAAGGACGGGCTTGATAAAGTTCCGCATTAAAATTGCACTCTCTTCCTGTGAAAAGGAATGCAACGTGCAAAAGCTGCTACGTACTTCCGTAGGTTGCTGGTGTACGACGCTATGGGGTTGATTAGTCTGTCGCGACGGCATTTTAATGGTCGTAGGTGCCACTTGCTTCACTTTCAACGGAATAGTTTTTAATACGAGAGTCTTTGGTTGCGATGGATGCTGCTGCTGCTGCTGCGACTGCTGTTGCTGCGGCGCCGGTGCGATATTACGAATATGAGGTCTCACTAAAGACTGCGTGGCGATCCTTATGGCTTTCGTGCTTCCTTGTGATGTCGACTGTAAAACTGTGACAGAAAATTTATGTCATTAGTGAATCTTTCTTGAAAAAAAAAAGAGTCAAGGCGCGTGACTTAAACAGTTAATGGTTCGACCATAATCGAGCCTCTAAATATAATGCTACTTGTCGTCTCGTTTATAGAAGAATTCAAACCGTTTAATTAGCAGTTATACACAGTGTATTCAATAAGTTCCAGGACTGGTCGCACACAGATCAAACAATGCCACGTATTGACTCCTCTTTAATATCAAGCTTCTACATAGTCTCCCGCCAATTTGATACAACGCTTAGAACGAGTCTTCAGGTCCATCATCGCCTTCTGGAACGCCTCCACTGGAATACTGTTCAGTTCCTTTGTCACCGCCTTTTCAATCGTCTCTACTGACTCATATCGGTGTCCCTTCATCTTCAATTTTAGCTTGGGAAACAAAAAATAGTCTGGGGGGAGGGGGACAGATCAAGTGAGTACGCAGGGTGGTTGATGCTCACAACTTGCCTTTTCGTCAAAAACTCCTGTACAACAATGGACTTGTGAGCCGGTGCATTGTCGTGCAACAGCCCACCACTCTCCGCTCTCCAACACTTTTGGCCTCACACGCCGCATTCGTTTTAAAAGTCGTTCCAAAACTCACCTGATCTGTCCCCCCCCCCCCCGACTATTTTTTGTTTCCCAAGCTAAAATTGAAGATGAAGGAACACCGATATGAGTCAGTAGAGGCGATTGAAAAGACGGTGACAAAGGAACTGAACAGTATTCCAGTGGAGGCGATGATGGACCTGAAGACTCGTTCTAAGCGTTGTATCGAATCGGCGGGAGACTATGTGGAAGCTTGATATTAAAGAGGAGTCAATACATGGCGTTGTTTGATCTGTGTGCGACCAGTCCTGGAACTTTTTGAATACACTGTGTAAAACTGGAATTAATTTAATTAAAATATCAATTCGTTTAATTAAAGCGCACCAGCAAAGATCATATTTTAATTAATGAACGCGCGCGTTAATAAACATAAAACTTTAAAATTAACTTAAATAAGCCATCAGTTCCATTTAATTGTGGATTGTAAAACACAAAGCTAAAATGGACGTAGAACTGGAAAATCAATTCAATTATAATATCAATTTGTTTGAGAAAGATTGCAAAATACAAAGCTCACGGCTGAAATTCTATTTAATTAATAAATGTGAAAAATTAATGTAATTAAAATGTCCATTTCTTTAATTAAAAGCTGTAAAATATACAAGCCACAGCTGAGATTCTAGTTTAATTGATGAACGCAAGATAGATACAAAACTTTAAAGTTAAACGTATCTAAAGTATCAGTTTTGTTTAATTGAACCCCGATAGGAAAATGTCTCAAATATTGGGTAGCTACTGCATCATCCAAAAGGAAGAAATTTCACAACGATTTAAGGCGATTCGCCAAAACGCAGCGGTTGTGCAGGAATAAAATTTTTAAATGGTATTTGGCTAAAAATTGATAATCTCAATTTAGGAGATAAATCGTGTACAATTATTTCGACATTTAGGAGCAAAATTACCCACCAACACAGTTATGTGTAATAAATGTTTAAAAAGACTTTATCGCTCGGCCTGCTTTTATCTCGTCTCGCGTGAATTTCACTTGCGAGTATGGGACGTCTCGTAGCGGCAGCTCGTCGTAACACGACAGCAATTTAATTGTGCAAATATTCTGCCAAAGCGATTCGCCAAAACGCAGCCGTTTTGCCGGCATACTATTTAGAAATATATTGTGCAAGTATTTATCGCCATTCGATGAAAGATCTTTATTTCTGCATATGTTGTTCGAAATTTATACGCATAACACTCCAAGCTTCATCCAGAATTCGTCGCATAACGTGCTGAATATTTTCCTATCGAGGAAGGTGTTTGCTGTTATCTAAATAAAATTATATAGATGATTATCTAGATAAAATTTTAGCGTTATCTTATCTTTATATAGATAATAAAAATAAGTATTATTTATATCTGCATCTTAGATGAAAGATAGTGTTATCTTTACTAAATTATCTAAGATAACGTACAGATAATTTGGTTTAGGGCCACATAAAAATACTTAACAGTTACACTATTTAAATATGGATGGCGTTGTAGACCATGCATTTATGTGTGTGTCATATAACTTAACCTGAATATATTCTATATCCCCCTTTATAATTTATATTTTTCTATAATTTTTTTTATAACTTTTTCTACTGCGTTTACATGAAGTCTTAAAAATATTATCTGAAAATTATCTAGATGAATCATCATATAATTTTATCTTTTATCTAGATATATTCAAAACGAAATCATCTTTATCTTATCTAAGATAAATTTATATATTTTTATCTTATCTTTATCTAGCTAATTTTAAAATCATCTATGCACAACACTGGTTGTAAAATACAAAGCTCACGTCTGAAATTCTGTTTTAATTAACAAAATTAATAAAATGGACGTAAAACTTGAAAGTAAAACTTATCTGAAACATCAGTTTCGTTCGATGGAAAGTTGCAAAATACAAAGCTCACGTGTAAAACGCCATTTAATTAATAAAATTGACGTAAAACTTGAAAATCAATTTAATTACGATATTGATTCGTTTGAAGAAAAATTGCAAGATACAAAGCTCACGGCTGAAATTCCGTTTCAATTAATAAATGCAAATGGGTGTAAAATTAACTCGACTGAAGTATCAGTTTTATTTGATAAAAGATTGCCAAGTACAAAGCTCGCGCGTTAAAAATTCCCCTTTTAATTAACGCCTAGATTAGCGCGGTGTACACTCACCCTGATAACGTCTGCCGACCAGCCGGCCGCCGTGGTGCACCCTGAGATGCCGGTGCAGGTTCGTCGTGCCGCACTGGCGCGGGTTCGCGCCGCCCCTGACGACGACCGCGCCGCAGATACGGCACTGGGCGCGAAGCGGATCGTTACTACACAGGTCGAAGTGTGCCCAGACCGCGCTGGGGTTCGCCATGGCGCGCAGACTGCGCGCGTGCGAGCGCACCCGCGCGACGCTCCGGATGACGACGGACGACGACGATGAGGAAGAGGACGGCGGCGGCGGCGGCAGCAGCCCCCCCGCCGTCGGCGGCGGCGGCGGCGTCGTCGCCGACGCGGGCGACAGTCTCGCCTCGCCGATGAAGTAGTCGTCCTCGTCCTCCGGCTCCTGCTTCATCACCAGGCCCCTCCGGACGTCCGCCGTGGAGGCCGCCGTCGCGACGCGGACCGACCGCTCGGCACGAGAACCGTCGCCGCGAACGAGCTCGATCCGCGGGACACCGCGTCACCACCTGCCATCAGTCGTCATCGACATTTTATCTCTTTGGAATGACCTAGCTAATAATCGTCGGGCGGACACGCCGTTTCCCGCCCGAGGAAACCGTCGTCGCATTTTTTATCGCGGGTCTCGGTCTCGTCGCGCGGGCGCACGCGGCTCCGCGCCGCGTTTTATTCCTTATCGTCCGTAACGACGATAATCGTTCGCCGCTTTTTATAGGAGCGCCACGATTCTCCGCCGCGTGGCATTAAAATAGGCGTCGCGTCGCGCGCGCGCGCGCGCCAAGCATCTCGATGGGGAACATTGCCGCACACCAGAATTGTTAACTATAAACCTAATTTCGAATACGAACAAAAGATCCGTCCGTTTCAATCTGTCGAGCTTTCATGCTTCTAACAGCCGCTGCACAACGCACCGCCGATTAAAATAAAATTGGCGAACAAGTGTAGATAATAAATGTTGAAAAAATATTGTCAATGTTGGACAAATATTGAATTAATATTAAATTAGTGGACAAATATCGAATAAATGTTGAATACATATTACGTAAATGCTGACAGAATAGTGAATAAATGTATAAATATTGAATCAACATCAAAGCAATGTTGGACAAATATTAAATAAATGTTGAGTACATATCGAGTAAATGTTGAAAAAGTAGTGAATAAATGTAAAATAAATGGTGAGTAAATATTGAGCGAATGTTGTGAATGTTGAATAAATCTTGAGTAGATGTTGAATGGATGTTGAATAAATATTAACTAAATGTTAAATCAACGAATATTGAACACACGTTGAATAAATGTAAAGGAAAACTGGTGCCCGAATGTTTGAATTTTCAACGTCGACAATTTCTCTCTAATCTGTTTATAATAACGCGAGTGGAAAATCCATATCCCATACAGCTCACAAATGTTGAATCAACATCTCAGAAACGTTCCATTACAACATTGCATCAATGTTACGAAATGTAGCTAGATTCAACGTTGAAAAGATATTGCAAAAACGTCTAATGTCCGCTGAATTGTAATGTCTTGTAGACGAATTACAATTCAACATTCAGAAAACATTGTTAACATTGGTCGCGTTTAGCAGAATATTTTTTACAACTGTTGGAAGTGTTGAAATTGAATTATTCCACTAAAATAATAATCCAATCTTAGCTCAGAAAATTTCTAACCGGTGCAAAAATATTATATATACATTTCATAATTATATATTTTTAAGTATCTATAAATAATGTTGCTGAAACGTTGCAATGTTGAATATTGAAGTATAAATATCTTTTCTACGTTGAATCTAGGTTAACGTTTGTACATTAATACTTCATATTATTTTTTAAGTATTTATTTGAGTGTCAAAAAATAATAATTTGTTCAAGATTGTTTTAACGTTGCAGCAATATCAAGAATTAATGCATAAACAGTAACCTAAATTCAACGTAGAAAAGATATTTGTACTTCAACATTGTAACGTTTCAGCAAACATTATTTTAACTTTCTGTGCTGTATGGGTATATTGCATAATGCAACAAAGTACACTCCTGTGTAAGCAATGGTATAATAGCGAAAGGGTTAAAGTGCAGTCACGTATCCGAAAACTGGAGCAAGAATCGCCATTATTCCCAAAATATAACGAAGAGATGTAATCGTCCCGCGCCCTTCTCTCTCTCTCTCTCTCTCTCTCTCTCTCTCTCTCTCTCTCTCTCTCTCTCTCTCTCACCTCCCTCCTTCTAGGAGGCACAAGACAAAAGCGATTAATCTCTATATCTCTGTTCGAATTCTTTAAGCGCCAAGTCAACAAACACGTGAACGATATTCGTTCTATTCGTCCATTTCATTTGCGCCCGAATTCCGAAGATCCCGTAAATCACGGAGAAGAAAAGAATCGGGGAAAGCACGTTTAAACTGCGTAAAACGGGACCGAGGGATACAATAATATAATCGCACTCTAAAGGCCGCCGTACTTGAAGATACGCAGGCAAAAATATATTTTGACCGACAAAATATCGAACGTGTACTTCCGTTTAAAAAATACGATAATACCGAATATTTTACAGCGCGCGTGCATACGTTATATTCTTATAATTAAAACTTTTCCACGGTGTCTTTATGACAAATTAAATTTAAGACAATATGATTAATTTTACATTCAACTGAATTTGAAACCGAAGCTCGTGCGTCTTCGTAAAGTTTCAAGTTTAATTTCCATACCGACGTTCTTGTACAATCACATAATTTTCTTTAAATTACATTTAAATAGTAAAACTTTAATTTTAATGTGAAATGAAACACTTTGGTTAAATACAAAAGAAAGATTTGCGCGTCGTACAAAACTTGAACAAACGCTCTCGCCTAATCGACCAACTTTTCTTCAGTTTAAACAAACAAACTCAAATCGCGAAGCTGAAAAGCCACAATCCTTTTCATCAATCCATCAAAAGTGACTTTTATATCTTTTTTTTCTCACAACAGCCCCGTGTACAGTAGCCCTTAGGACGTATCGCTCACGCGGAGCGAGGGAGGAAGCGGGGAGGGGAGGAGCAAACGACCGAATTCACTCTCGCCACGAGATCCGCAACGCCGCCGGGCTGCGCCGCGCGCGCGAACACGCGCCATCTTTCCCCATTCGCGTTCCTTCTTTTTCTTCCTCCCTTTCGCGCGCGCGTGTGCGCGCCAAACGCGTTTCAACGGCCGGGCGCGCGGAACCGTCCACGCGAAACCCTCTCCTCTCCTTCCCGCGGCGCCCTGAGGATCATCGTCTGCACGTTCGCCGCGTCGTCCATCCTCGCCCTCCTCCCCCTCTGTCCGTTCCCTCTCTCTCGCTCTCTCTCTCTCTCTTTCCGCGTGGCGTTTCGCACCCACTCTCTCGGTCCCCCGTCACCCAGCGACGTTCGCCGCTCACGGAGAATCGGCGGTTATAAAACGGCGACCGTGTGACAAGTGCGCGGCGCACGACACGCCGTGCCGCGGGCGAGCGGAGCTTCCGCCTGCCGGCCACTCCGCCGCCAAGCGTCGTCGCGAGAGCGAGAGGCGTCGTGCCTCACGCGACGCGATTACCGATCTCGGGGAACGATCCTCGGTATCGTCACGCGCGGCGCACTGTACTCTCCCCCGATCGATTCGCGGAGGCGCGACGCTTTATCGCGCCGACTCTCTTCTCACCTCTCGAGTGTCCCTCCGGTCTGTGCTTTCCGCGGCTCGACAATGACGACAATGACGGCGACGGTAGAGCGAGACGATATCGTCGATAACCGCGGAGAGATCGACGGTCGCGTGTCTGCCCCGCGTGCCGATTCCTCTTTCTCTGTCTCTCTCTCGCTCGCTCTCTCGTTCTATCGCTCTCCTCCCTCTCTCCTTATTCGTTCTCTTACGATACTCAAGCCTCGTGAGATCACCAGGCGAGGATCGTCGGGACCACGCGCCACCCTCGACGGCCACCCGTTATTATCCCCGATACTAAAATCACGTGCCGGCCCACGGAGGACCCGGAGGAAGATCGTTAGCGTCGCTCGGACGCGGTCGCGAGACACGAATTGGGTGGTGGCCCCAGTACGGCTGGCCGTGGCACGCGCGCGCTACGCCGGACGCCGGGACGATTTTCCCCGAAGCCGAACCCGGGAGTGACTAAAATCGAAATCGGTGAACGAACAGGGGCGCGTCGGGGCGCGCATGTGCGGCGACGGCGTCGCCTCGCCGGTCGTCGACGCATATCCGTGCCGCGCGGCGCGTCTCGTCTCGCCTCGTCACGGCTCGGCTCGGCTCGGCCCGACCCGGCCCGGCCCGTCCGCGCCGCTATCGCGTATGCGCGCGCGTGCGTGTGCCATTCATTCCCCCCTCCCCTTGCCCCTCCACACACGAATCTCTTTCTTCCTCTTTCCGCCGCCGCCGCCGGCCGTCCCGACTCCCCGCCGTTCGGGATTACTAACCGACCTGACGATGTCCGGCCCGTAAACGCCGCGCGCGACACGCGCGAATTCACGATCGATCGGAGCAGTAAAGCCTGCTACAGACTGCACGCAGC